TGAATCTGAGTTCTCTGCATTGCATGGCTGATTCTCAATCACTAGATCAGGAGAGACATCCCTCAGCTTGTCATTTTTCACCCCAAAAAAGGTGTATTTTTTTGAGATTAGAGTTAATCTACACAGAAATTTGAGCTGATTGACTGATAATGTTGAGTCTTCCAATTCATTGACACTATATATATACATATATATATATATATATATATCCCTCCATTCAGTTAGGTTTCCAATTTCTCTCAGCAGTTTTGCCCATCTTCTGCTAGGTTTTTCTCCTAGGCATTTGTGTTTTTGGTGTTATAAGCATTTCTTTTAGTGGAAGTGTCCTAGGAATGATTTATCTCTGACTTGATTTTACCTTTCCCTTTTTAAATTTTGATGTAATTTGAGACTTACAGAAGAGCCGTAAGAATAATATAAGAATCCAGAAGACCTTTAGCTGGATTTCCCAATGTTAGTATTCTGCTTTAGTCTCTCTCCCCCAGTTGATATCTCTCTCTATCTCTGCTTCTATCTTTCATTCTGTCCCCCTCCCACCACATTTCTCCATGAGTATGTAAAATCTGAGTTAGTTTGCAGACATGATGGCTCTTTACCTCTAAAATGCTCCCAGGGATTTCCTTATGCAACCACACTTCAGTCAAGTCATCAGACCACTTCAGCTCCAGGTGACATCTAAGTGCAACCACATGAAAGACTCTAAGACAGAACTGACAAGTGGGACCTTTCCGAAATTTCTTACCCAGGAAGACTTAAGCAAAATGAAGTATATATTTTTGCTTAAGTGGCTAAGTTTTACGGGAGAATTTATTATACAGCAATATAACCAGGACACGACTTCCTGGTGGCTCAGTGGTAAAGAATCCTCCTGCCAAGTCAGGAAACACGAGTTCTGCCCCTAGGTTTTGAAGATTCCCTGGAGAAAGAAATGGAAACCCACTCCAACATTCTTGCCTGAGAAATCCCATGGACAGAGGAGCCTGGTGGGCTATAGTGCATGTGATCCTGAAAAGTATCAGACAAGACTGAGTGACTAAACAACAACAACAGCAGCAACCAGGACACTTATTATAAGACCTGCATCTCTAAATAGAAGACTATTTGTCCTCTGATCTTCTGTTTACTGTTTTTGCTTTATGCAGAGCTAATGTGCTAAAACAGTCATCCTTTATATCTTAACATCGGCTGTTAAGTTTTTCAGCGCTAGGATTTTTATCTGTCTTTATTTTGTAAATTTCTTTTGTCAGTTAATCCCATGAGGCCTTCAATAATGGCTATTTAAATTCTCCATCAGGGAATCAATCTGCCTGACTTCAGACTATACTACAAAGCCACAGTCATCAAGACAGTATGGTACTGGCACAAAGACAGAAATATAGATCAATGGGACAGAATAGAAAGCCCAGAGATAAATCCACGAACCTATGGTCACCTTATCTTTGACAAAGGAGGCAAGGATATACAATGGAAAAAAGACAACCTCTTTAACAAGTGGTGCTGGGAAAACTGGTCAACCACCTGTAAAAGAATGAAACTAGAACACTTTCTAACACCATACACAAAAATAAACTCAAGATGGATTAAAGATCTAAATGTAAGACCAGAAACTATAAAACTCCTAGAGGAGAACATAGGCAAAACACTCTCCGACATAAATCACAGCAGGATCCTCTATGACCCACATCCCAGAATATTGGAAATAAAAGCAAAAATAAACAAATGGGACCTAATGAAACTTAAAAGCTTTTGCACAACAAAAGAAACTATAAGCAAGGTGAAAAGACAGCCCTCAGATTGGGAGAAAATAATAGCAAATGAAGCAACAGACAAAGGATTAATCTCAAAAATATACAAGCAACTCCTCCAGCTCAACTCCAGAAAAATAAATGACCCAATCAAAAAATGGGCCAAAGAACTAAACAGACATTTCTCCAAGGAAGACATACAGATGGCTAACAAACACATGAAAAGATGCTCAACATCACTCATTATCAGAGAAATGCAAATCAAAACCACAATGAGGTACCATTACACACCAGTCAGGATGGCTGCTATCCAAAAGTCTACAATCAATAAATGCTGGAGAGGGTGTGGAGAAAAGGGAACCCTCTTACACTGTTGGTGGGAATGCAAATTAGTACAGCCACTATGGAAAACAGTGTGGAGATTTCTTAAAAAGCTGGAAATAGAACTGCCATATGACCCAGCAATCGCACTTCTGGGCATACACACCGAGGAAACCAGATCTGAAAGAGACACGTGCACCCCAATGTTCATCGCAGCACTGTTTATAATAGCCAGGACATGGAAGCAACCTAGATGCCCATCAGCAGACGAATGGATGAGGAAGCTGTGGTACATATACACCATGGAATATTACTCAGCCATTAAAAAGAATTCATTTGAATCAGTTCTAATGAGATGGATGAAACTGGAGCCCATTATACAGAGCGAAGTAAGCCAGAAAGATAAAGACCATTACAGTATACTAACACATATATATGGAATTTAGAAAGATGGTAACGATAACCCTATATGCAAAACAGAAAAAGAGACTCCGATGTATAGAACAGACTTGTGGACTCTGGGAGAAGGCGAGGGTGGGATGTTTCAAGAGAACAGCATCGAAACACGTATATTATCTAGGGTGAAACAGATCACCAGCCCAGGTTGGGTGCATGAGACAAGTGCTCGGGCCTGGTGCACTGGGAAGACCCAGAGAGATCGGGTGGAGAGGGAGGTGGGAGGGGGGACCGGGATGGGGAATACATGTAAAACCATGGCTAATTCATTTCAATGTATGACAAAACCCACTGCAATGATGTAAAGTAATTAGCCTCCAACTAATAAAAATAAATGAAAAAAAAAACAACTAAAAAAAATAAATAAATAAAATAAATTCTCCATCAGATAACTCTAGTAAATGAATAACTTGGGAAATTCTTTCTAATGTCTTTTTCCTCCTGGTTTTCTATGAGATTTCTTTTATATGTGTATTGTTTTAATAACAAACATTTTAGGTGAAAAAGTGGTAGAACCCCTTTGGAAAAGATTTTATTTTGCTCTTCCTGTTTATGGACAGATTTAGAGACAAAACAGCTTATTTAACTCATTCTTAGTGCAATGGTTGGCTGAAAACAATTGTGACACTGTCAGAAGCAGAGCTCTGCCTAGAAAAGGTGAACCCTAAACTGATAACCGTACTGTTACATTTCAACAGTACATGAACCGTGAACTTCCAGATGTTCAAGCTGGTTTTAGAAAAGGCAGAGGAACCAGAGATCAAATTGCCAACATCTGCTGGACCATCAAAAAAACAAGAGAGTTCCAGAAAAACATCTATTTGTGGTTTATTGACTATGTTGAAGCTTTTGACTGTGTGGATCACCACAAACTGGAAAATTCTGAAAGAGATGGGAATACCAGACCACCTGACCTGCCTCTTGAGAAATCTGTATGCAGGTCAGGAAGCAACAGTTAGAACTGGACATGGAACAACAGACTGGTTCCTAATAGGGAAAGGAGTACATCAAGGCTGTACATTGTCACCCTGCTTATTTAATTTTTATGCAGAGTACATCATGTGAAATGCCAGGCTGGATGAAGCACAAGCTGAAATCAAGATTGCCAGAAGAACTATCAATAACTTCAGATATGCAGATGACAGCACTCTAATAGCAGAAAGCAAAGAAGAATAAAAGAGCATGATGATGACAGTGAAAGAAGAGAGTGAAAAAGTTGGCTTAAAACTCAACATTCATAAAACTAAGATCATGGGATCTGGTCCCATAACTTTATGGCAAATAGATGGGGAAACAGTGGAAACAGTGACAGACTTAATTTGGGGGGGTGGGGGCGGTGCTCCAAAATCACTGCAGATGGTGACCTCAGTCATGAAATTAAAAGATGCTTGCTCCTTGGAAGAAAAGCTTTGACCAATCTAGACAGCATATTGAAAAGCAGAGACATTACTTTGCCAACAAAGGTCCATCTACTCAAGGCTATGGTTTATCCAGTAGTCATGTACGGATGTGAGAGTTGGACTATAAAGAAAGCTGAGCACTGAAGAATTGATGCTTTTATGTTTTTCTTTCCATTTATTTTTATTAGTTGGAGGCTAATTACTTTACAATATTGTAGTGGTTTTTGTCATACATTGACATGAATTAGCCATGGATTTACATGTATTCCCCATCCTGATCCCCCCCTCCCACCTCCGTCTCGACCCGATCCCTTTGGCTCTTCCCAGTGCACCAGGTCTGAGCACTTGTCTCATGCATCCCACCTGGGCTGGTGATCTGTTTCACCATAGATAATATACATGTTCCGATGCTGTTCTCTTGAAGAATTGATGCTTTTGAAATGTGGTGTTGGAGAAGACTCTTGAAGAGTCTCTTGGATTGTAAGGAGATCCAACCAGTCCATCCTAAAGGAAATCAGTCCTGAATATTCATTGGAAGGATTGATGCTGAAGCTGAAACTCCAATACTTTGGCCAGCTGATGCGAAGAGCTGACTCATTGGAAAAGATCCTGATGCTGGGAAAGATTGAAGGCAGGAGAAGAAGGAGACGGCAGAGGATGAGATGATTGGACGGCATCACTGACTCGATGGATATGAGTCTGAATAAACTCCTAGAGGTGGTGATGGACAGGGAGGCCTGGCTTGCATTCAGTCCATGGGGTCGCAAAGAGTCAGACATGACTGAGCGACTGAACTGAACTGTTACATTAACATTGTTTATCTCACACTTCATCACTAGGTCATTATTTAGCTTAATTCAATTTCCTGTTCTTCAACCCACAAACCCTCTAATCATTGCTGTTTCTACAGGAAACCAGACCCAGGTGCTGCCCCAGTGCAATGACTCAGTGTCTGAACCAGCAGGCTCTGCGGCCTCAGAGGAGAGCGCCCCCTACTGCTCAGGTGAGGTCCCACAGGACAGAAGTCCTTTCTCATCCCCCCTGTCAATGCCCCATTGTCCCATTTCTCTCTCCTCAGACAGCAGACAGCTCCGCCTGGTGGACGGGGGCGGTCCCTGCGCCGGGAGAGTGGAGATCCTGGACCAGGGCTCCTGGGGCACCATCTGTGATGATGGCTGGGACCTGGATGATGCCCGCGTGGTGTGCAAGCAGCTGGGCTGTGGAGAAGCCCTCAATGCCACGAGGTCTGCTCACTTCGGGGCGGGATCAGGGCCCATCTGGCTGGACGACCTGAACTGCACAGGAAATGAGTCTAACGTGTGGAGTTGCCCTTCCCGGGGTTGGGGGCGGCATGACTGCAGACACAAGGAGGACGCAGGGGTCATCTGCTCAGGTCTGCACTGCACACTGTCCACAAGCTGGGGGAGGGGAGAACCTGGAGCCGTGGAGAACGGGAGTCTGAGTCCTGAGGGAGATACACTGAAAGGACCAGAGAAAGAGGCTTCCTCGCATGGAGCCTGTCTTTCCAGCAGACGTGAAGACTAGGCGTTTTTACTTCCTCCTGAAGCAGCTGACATTCTAGTCCTTTATTCTCAGCACAGTTTCCTGGCAGAGCAATTTCTTAGAATTTCCAGTTGAAAGTCGGATTCACCTTCCCTTACATATGGGACAAAAATCTTAAGTCAATGGTACTAGTTTCTGTTTGCTTCTGTGACAAATTACTTTGTAGTGGCTTAAAACAACATATATTTTTTGCCTTAGGGTTCCGTAGGTTCAAGGTTCAACAGGATCTCACTGGGCTTGAATCAATGTTTCAGCAGGGCTACATCACATCTGAGGCTCTGGTAAAGAATCCCAATTTTTATATCAGGTTTCTTTTCAAACCATCTGCATTCCTTGGCTCATAGACCCACTTCATCCATCATCAGACCAGCAATGCTGCATGTCTCTAACCATTGTCCAGAGTCACACCTCCCTGGAGCCAGAGCCAAGAAAGAGTGCTTCAATAGGTTTGGCCAAAAGATTCCTTCTTTTTTTCCTGTAAGATGGTCTAGTAACAGTTAGTTCTCTTTCACTTAATTTGAAACAATTTTTTTAGACTATTTTGTGGCAGCTATCATAGCAACATGCATCTTTTCTTTAAAAAAATCAAAATCGGTGAATTTTTGTATAGCCATTTTAATTTGAAAATGGAAGAAAAAAGCAACATTTTGGCATATCATGCTTTATTATTTCAAGAAATGATAGAAATACAACTGAAATGCAAAACTAATTTGTGGAGTATATGGAAGTGTGGTGACTGATCAAGCTCATCAAAAGTGGTTTATGAAGTTTTGTGTTGGAGATTTCTCACTGGACAGTACTGCACTGTAGGGTAGACCAGTTGAAGTTGATAGCAGTCAAATTGAAATATTACTTGAAGACAATCAATGTTAAACAATGCAGGAGATAGCCAACATTTTCAAAATATCCAAATCAAGCATCGATAGTCATTTGTACCAGCTTGGTTATATTATTTGCTTTGATGTCTGAGTTTCACATAAATGAAAAAACCATCATGGCAGTATTTCTTTGTGGGATTTTCTACTTAAACATAATGAAAACATTTTGCTTTTAAAACAAATTGTGATGGGTGATGAAAAGTGGATACTGCCCAACAATGTGGAATGAAAAAGATTGTGGGACAAGTGAAATGAAGCACCCCCAACCACATCAAATGCCAGTCTTCCTCCAAAGAAGGTGATATTGTGTATGTGGTGGTATTGGAAGGGAGTCCTCTATTAAGGGAGTACCTTCAAGAAAACCAAATGATAATTCCAACAAGTACTGTTCCCCATTAGACCAACTGAAAGCAGCACTTAATGAAAACCATTCAGAATTGATCCAGAGAAAATGCATAATCTTCCATCAGGATAATGCAAGACCACATATGTCTTTGTAGGCCAGGCAAAAACTGCCACAGTTTGGCTAATTCTGATTCATCAGCTGTATTTACGAGACATTGAAGTTTCAGCTTTCCATTTATTTAGATCTTCACAAAATTCTCTTACTGGAAAAAAGTTTAAATTTCCTGGAAGACTGTAAAACACACTTGGAATAGTTCTTTGCTTAAAAAGATAAAAGTTTTGGGAAGAGGGAAATATGAAGTTGGCTGAAAATGGCAGAAGGTAGTGGAACAAAATGATGAATATGCTGTTCAATCAAGTTTTTGGTGAACATAAAAAATATCTTTTATTTTGACTTAAAAACCAAAAAAAACTTTCTGGCCAACCCAATAAGAATGTGATTAGACTGGGTTCACATAGTTAATCCACAATAGTCCAACTTAATATCACCATCTCACAATTCTGACCTTAATCACATCTGTGAAATCCCTTTTGCTAGGTAAGGGAACATATTCATGGTGTCAGGGATTTGCATGAGACATCTGCAGGTTTATTATTCTGCCACCTCCCCAATACCATATCACATCCCTTTCACACTCTCTTAGAGGTTTGGTCAGGAAGCAGAATTCAGCACCTCCCCCCACCCCGCACTGGTGCCCAGGTTGCTCTTCCTCTGTGTTCACATTCACTACATCATGGTAGTAGAAAGGCTTAAAAAGATAAGCACGAATGGAAATTCAGGTAAAAGGGAGACAGCTTTCAGTCTTATCACCTAATGGGTATCTCCTCAGCTGGTTCAGGGATGAATGGCCAATATTTCTGGGAGAGAGAAAAACCCAGAGCACTGAGTGAAGCTCTCACCAGTCTTGATTCCTCCCTTTTGATCTTAGAGTTCCTGGCCCTCAGAATGGTGAGTGAGGACCAGCAGTGTGCTGGGTGGCTGGAAGTTTTCTACAATGGAACCTGGGGCAGTGTCTGCCGAAGCCGCATGGAAGACATCACTGTGTCCATCATCTGCAGTCAGCTTGGCTGTGGGGACAGTGGAAGTCTCAACTCTTCTGTTGCTCTTAGAGAAGGTTCTAGACCCCGGTGGGTAGATGGAATCCGGTGTCAGAATACGGATACCTCTCTCTGGCAGTGTCCTTCTGACCCTTGGAATTGCAGTTCATGCTCTCCAATGGAGGAAGCCTACATCTCATGTGCAGGTGAATTACTGTCTGTTCCTGTGTCTGTCTTAAACCCACAGAATATTAATAGTGAGATTTTACATTTTCATATTTAAGTCATGAATTTAACATAGGTCCACAAAATGAAGTTAAGGCCAGTTCAGTTCAGTTGCTCAATTGTGTCCAACTCTTTGTGACTCCATGGACTGCAGCACACCAGGCCTCCCTGTCCATCACCAACTCCCGGGGCCTACTCAAACTCATGTCCAAAACATCAGTGATGCCATCCAACCATCTCATCCTCTGTCATCCCCTTCTCTTCCAGCCTTCAATCTTTCCCAGCATCAGGGTCTTTTCAAATGAATCAGATCTTCACATCAACTGGCCAAAGTATTGGAGTTTCAGCTTCAGCATCAGTCCTTACAATGTATATTCAGGACTCATTTCCTTTAGGATGGACTAGTTGGATCTGCTTGCAATCCAAGGGACTCTTCAAGAGTCTTCTCCAACACCACATTTCAAAAGCATCAATTCTTCAGTGCTCAGCTTCCCTTACAGTCCAACTCTCACATCCATACATGACTATTGGAAAAACCATAGCCTTAAGTAGATGTACCTTTGTTGGCAAAGTAATGTCTCTACTTTTTAATATGCTGTCTAGGTTGGTCATAGCTTTTCTTCCAAGGAGCAAGCATCTTTTAATTTCATGGCTGAGATCACCATCTGCAGTGATTTTGGAGCCGTCCAAAATAAAGTCTGTCACTGTTTCCATCGTTTCCTCATCTATTTGTCATGAAGTGATGGGACCGCATGCCATGAGCTTGGTTTCCTGAATGTCAAGCTTTAAGCCAAATTTTCTTTCCTCTTTCACTTTCATCAATAGATTCTTTAGTTCTTCTCTTTCTGCCATAAGGTTTGTGTCATCTGCATATCTGATGTTATTGATATTTCTCCTGGAGATCTTGATTCCAGCTTGTGCTTCTTCCAGCCCAGCATTTCTCATGATGTAATCTGCATATAAGCTAAATAAGCAGGATGACAATATACAGCCTTGACGTACTCCTTTCCTGGTTTGGAACCAATCTGTTTTTCTATATCCAGTTCTAACTGTTGCTTCCTGACCTGCATACAGATTTCTCAAGAGGCAGGTCAGGTGGTCTGGTATTCCCATCTCTTTAAGAATTGTCCACATATAGGGTTATAGTTACCATCTTTCTAAATTCCATATATATGTGTTAGTATACTGTAATGGTATTTATCTTTCTGGCATACTTCACTCTGTATAATGGGCTCCAGTTTCATCCATCTCATTAGAACTGATTCAAATGAATTCTTTTTAATGGCTGAGTAATATTCCATGGTGTATATGTACCACAGCTTCCTCATCCATTTGTCTGCTGATGGGCATCTAGGTTGCTTCCATGTCCTGGCTATTATAAACAGTGCTGCGATGAACATTGGGGTGCATGTGTTGTAAAGTAATTAGCCTCCAACTAATAAAAAAATAAATAAATAAAGTTCAAACAACAACAAAAAAAAGAATTGTCCACAGTTTGTTGTGATGCACATAGTCAAAGGCTTTGGTGGAGTCAATAAAGCAGAAGTAGATGCTTTTCTGGAACGCTCTTGCTTTTTTGATGGTACAGAAGATGTTGGGAATTTGATCTCTTGTTCCTCTGCCTTTTCTCAATCCAGCTTGAACTTTTGGAAGTTCAGAGTTCACGTACTGTTGATGCCTGGCTTGAAGAATTTTGAGCATTATTTTGCTAGCTTGTGAGATGAGTGTAACTGTGTGGTAGTGAGCATTTTTTGGCATTGCTTTTCTTTGTGATTGGAATGAAAACTGATCTTTTCCAGTCCTGTGACTACTGCTGAGTATTCCAAATTTGCTGGCGTATTGAGTGTAGCACTTTCACAGTGTCATCTTTTAGGATTTGAAAGAGCTCAACTGGAATTCCATCACCTCCACTAGCTTTGTTCCTAGTGATGCTTCCTAGGCCCACTTGACATTCCAGGATGTCTGTCTCTAGGTGATTGATCACACCATAATGGTTATCTGGGTCATGAAGATCTGTTTTGTATAGTTCTTCTGTGTATTCTTGCCACCTCTTCTTAATATCTTCTGCTTCTGTTAGTTCCATACCACTCTGTCCTTAATTATGCTCATCTTTTCATGAAATGTTTCCTTAGTGTCCCTAATTTTCTTGACAGGATCTCTAGTCATTCCCATTCTGTTGTTTTTCTCTATTTCTTTGTAGGGATCACTAAAGAAGGCTTTCTTATCTCTCCTTGCTGTTCTTTGGAACTCTGCATTCAAATGGCTATATCTTTCCTTTTCTCCT